TATATATAAATTTTTGATAAAATTTTAAAATATATGTTAAAATTGAATTGCAAATTTTAATTAAATGGTTCAAAATAATTAAAAGGGATGTTTTACTAATAAACCTTTTATTTTTATTATAAATAAAATTTTAAAATAAAATTTTAAATAAATTATCGAACCAACTCAATTGAATTGGGTTGAATTCATTACTTAACCCGAGTTGTTTGAGTTAAAAAAAAATTATCACTCAAACAATTAGATTAGGTCTAAAAAATCATAAATGATCTTTTCTTGATTCATATGTATAACACCCTTGTTGATCCAATGGCTCGAAAATAGCACTTTTGTCTAAGCTCGATTTCACATACTACTTATTTTTCTACTACACCTAGAAAAACACTGGACTCAAGGTTTGAAAGCTATAAATGATTATGTCATCAAAGTTTTCCACTATAAATGGATGAAAATAAGAGTACCAGTTATCCATTGTTGTGCCGAATAAAACTAAAATTAGTCTATCTGACCAACCCAGTCTATAAACACGGCTATAACTCAGATTTAAAATATGCTTTAAATTTTATATAAAAAATGTTCTTAAAAAGTTGTTAAAAAAAATATATATATTCTTTGTTGGGCTATATTTTGAAATTTTGGATTTATTTCTTATATGAACGTGGATAAAAGACAAAAGTTTAACGAGGGGCTTACACAATTAGGACCACGTGAATGTCCGTATTAGGTTTTGGGGCTGCATTATTGGAGACTCCATCGTGGAATTAAAAACGTGTCTAATTCTTTAAAATATTTATTTTCTTTCCCTTTCCCAATTTTGTATTACTAAATTTTTGGGTATCCTACACGACACACTGACCAATTCTTATCTTCCCAATTGTGTGGATATATATGGATATAAACTTATATATATATATATATATATACAAATAAATTATAATGATATTCTTCTAATTTAAATGGCAAAAATTCAAGTTTAATTAGTTTTTTTTTTTTTTTCATTTCGAGAATGTACTAGTTTCTTTCCACTTATTTTCTTTTTCCTCCAACTTTTTAAACTAAAAATTTAAATTTTTAGTCAAATTTTAAAAATAAAACTAAGTTTTTAAAAATTACATTTAACTTAATTCTTGGAAACAGTAAAAACTAAATAACAAAATAATAATAATTAATTGGTGGCTTGGTTTTTCAAGTAATGATGTTGCTCAATTTAAAATAAAATAAATAGTTATCAGAGAAAACAGTTATAAATGGAGCTTTGCTATTATTATTTTTTTTTTTTGAGTTAAGCTTATAAACATTTTTTTACCTTTTAATTTCTTTATTTGTTATCTTGATTATTTTCAAGATTTAAGTGAAAATTACAAAATTAAGCTAATAAATTAAGATTCAAGATTTTGACTAAAAGTTGAATTTATTAAAAGTTATGCATTTTAACTTTGAATCTGTGTGTGGAAACTAATTACGGCTTAGGTATAATAAAAAAATATTTTCAAAAAATATAAATACTCTCTTTTTATAAATGACCACGTTCTCAAAAAAAAAAAAAAAAAAAA